GTATAGCCACCCCTTGTAACCCCCCCCCCCCCCTCATCTGCCATGGCGTCCACCAGCAACCAGGAAGTTAACGGTCACGAAAATGCAGGCTGCTGGGCTGTCTTTCAATTCCTTCAGTCATATCATCATCCCTAGGAGACACAATCAGCTTTTTCTTTTCCTGCCATGCTTCCTGGCGCAGCACCAGGTCAATTTCAGGTCCTTAATGCCTTTTTTGCTTTAACTGAATAGTTTCTAAAAGTAGCTTACATTACATCTGTATGTTACTGCCACAGCGATCAGACTCCTCTTAGTGAACTCTTTGGGGTAAAAACCGGAAACTTCCATACCCATTCTGAATGCGAAAACGATTGTGAAACGTGATTTAAAATGATCTGCGTGAATTGGTAGATTACTGTGGAGTCCACAATTTGCTCGGTAGACGGATGAAAGCTACCAAGGGCGTAGGACGCACTCGCCTTGTCAGATATAATTTAATTTCTTTTCTATTTTTGTGAATATTGAATTTAGTTGCGGTTTTTGATAAACCTTTTGAGAGCGAAAAGGTGTTAGACTATTTCCATATTGCATTTTCGACTCGATTCTTTCTCTCTCTTTCTCTTTGTGTAAGTGCATTTACTTATGTTTTGAAGGAATGCTTAGGATCTATTTGACAATGAAGTTAAGGTGAAAATTATCGAAAATAAAATTTAAGAGCGCAAATAGTTGCCTTAAACTTTGTCTTCAAACTTATCATTGAATTAAGTGCTTATAATATAGTATAAAGCTCTATTGCTCCTCTTCTAACTTTGTGCCAAACATCATTAACTGAGTTACTTCCAAGACGAGACGCCATGTCACACAATTGAACTGGGCACCAACACACGCGGCACACTATGCAAACACACGCAAAATGCTTTTTCAATCATTCAGAATTTTAATTTGTCCTTGGACCAGTGTTTGCCTTACCGATTATCACACATAAGGCTGGCTCCACAAAAATATATACGTTCAGATAAATACAGACAGACTCGTAGTACGCAATGTATTCGTCTATCTTTTCAATTCGTTTTTTTTTTATTGGATAAAATTATGATTACAAATTTTCCCACTTTTTATGCAACTACGTAAAACCAACCGCTAGCTGGGTACATATACCGCTCACTGATAGAATATCAGACGCCCAGTCATCAAAATTCCGACGTTACAATGCGCATAATGCGTCGCTAAATCGCCCCGCATAACAACTGCTTCTCTGGACAAATGTGTGATATAAATCACCTCCAGCCCGTGCTGCCCTCTGGCAAACAATACGAGACTTCCGCGTGTGTACCCATGTCAGAGCAGGTTTCGTGTAACACTACACAATTAGCCCCTGACACTAAGACAAATGCATCACACTGTCAAATTAGATGAAAAAAAAAACTTAACCGAGAAGATGAATGACGTGTAGATAAGGGGTGAAAGAGCCTCGGTTTATTAGTGCGACAGCATTCTGTCTTCCGATAAAGATCCGTAACGTTTTTGCGCGCGTGCCGTCATCAAGCGTCTTGGAGATAGAATCAAATTTTGAAATTTAACACAGTTTAAGGCTGCCACGTGCGCGACGGCCAATCACAAGAGCCGACGATACATGGGAGGGTTGAAGCCTCAGATGGCTTTATTAACCGAGCAAGGCGTTGAGAAGACCAGTTCTTCACGCTACATTGTTAACAACGAGACTGCTACTGGTGCTTACTGGCATGAAGGCAACGCAGTGGACAAACTCTTCGGCAAACAGCATGTAGACAGCCGAAGAAGTTGACGACTCTCTCTGCTGCTAGGGACGCCAACCCATCAGCTGATTGCTGGTAAACAGACCGGTCCTCGACAATCAAGACAAAAAATACACAAAGTTACCACGCGCAAGTATTTACACAGGCTGGCAAGTTTAGCAAAGGGCCAGGAGGCGCTCATTTAAATCTTATAAAAATTTCATAAGAAGAGTTATTCTGACAACGGGAATGTGCACGTGGTAATAGCATTAGTTTTGGTATCGAAGGTATTTTCACTGCGAGCAGCTTTCATATATTAACCCAGCATGTTGATACTAGCGCTGCCAGCAGCCGTGCTGGTGTTTTTTATGACTGGTGGCTGCTTCTCCATCAAAGCGGTTGTGGCACAAGTAGAAAGGCACGTTATTCGAACTGCCGATCAGATCGACCAGCCAAACCTGAGGGCTGATATCATTAAAGCTATGGAGAACGTACAAATACGGCAACGTGCTAGGGAGCCGGTGACCCCCGGGATATTGGAGGGGGGTTCACGCGGGGGTACCACATCGCGACAGACTAACTGGTATGAGGAATCTTTTAGACAGACCCGCGCTGGTTTCGGCACAGTGGGTCAACATCGACATCGTCACAGACACGGCGCACGCAGCAGGCAGCACGGGACCGAGGGCGCGTACAATGGCACGGCCTCAGCTCGCGCTAGGACCCGGCCGGGGAGGCCTACGTTCTTAAACTGCCCCCACTGTATTCTAAGAGAGGAGGCTAAAAGATTTCGCATAGAAGCCATAAAAAATCAGATTTTGAGCAAGCTTAGGTTAAAAGCCATACCTAATATTACTGGTCTTATTCTTCCAAAGATCCCGCCGCTGAGGTCGTACCTGGACAACCACCCTAATCCGAACGGCGGGATGTTGGGAGATGACCCCAATATTCTCCCGCAGGAAGACGTCAGTGGACTGGAGACGGACGATTACCACGCCACCACGGTGAAGGTATTTAACTTCGCTCATCCACGTAAGTACCACATGTTCCTGTTAATATAGTAAATCTGGAGTGCAATTCCACGTGTACTCCTAACGAGCTCGAACACCCCCCTTCTCTCTAGCTCTTTCTCTCTAACACACACATACGCACGTACACACACACACATATACACACACACACACACACGCGTGCTTTTTTTGCGCTGTTTCTGATCTGTTTGGTTTGGGCAAAAATTAAATTCGTTTTGTTATGAAGGTACTTGCTGTGAAAATCTCTTATTACCCCTCACCCCCAAGGGGAAAATCAAATAAACTAATAAAACTTTAAAAAACAAAACAAAGTAAGTGATTTCAAAGTATAAACACTAAACCTACATTTATTTAACAATCTAATGTATTCGGATGCAGCTCAGAACGGTCAGGGAACATGCTGGTCTTACAATAGAAACCTTCACGATGACATAATAACCACGTCTCCAAAACTTAAGAGCATGGACATAATAAGTTATTATATAAATTATTATGTCCATGTTAAGAGTAAGTTGGTCGTTGCATAATGTTATGCAAACACACCGCATAAACGCGACAATGAATTAATGAAACCACAAAAAACTATTAAATACATCTGAGTGGATGATTTCTGTGACACCGGGGCGGAGACACGGGTTGTGTAAGAGCACCAAGGAGGCTTCTGTTGATGTGTTGTTGGAGCCTGCTCTTCTTTAGTTAATCTCTGGACAAGTAATGAGCACCTGTAAGGCAACAGAAATACCCATCGCTTTATTATTAAGAAATTCTGTACGTTTTTAGCGCGTCCTTTTGTTTTAACTTAATCACTAAGTGTCTTTTAGTGAGGAAATATGACCTAGGAAACGTTGGCTTAATTGTGTCACGTTTTGGCATAAATAATGACTATTTTATTAACATAGGAGCAAAATATATTTTGAAAATACTTTCCAGCCGACTTTCCAGTCTTGCACAGTTAAGTAAGAAGAATCTTCTAGGGTTTCAGATGGAAATAATCTAGTGAAATCATTGAAAGTGTTCACCAACTATGCAGTACGTACTTTGGTCTAGGTGCACCCTCCCCTCACCATGGAACTGTTGAATGCCAGGCTGAGGCCGAGTGAACGATTATATATATACAGAAGTAGAACGTGTATATAGATGTGACACAGCAATGTTTGATATATGTAATGGCATTGTAATTAGACAGGTGTTTGTTGTGCCATGTAATGAGTAGTGACACTGTAATGAGGCAGATGGTTGTAGTGACACTGTAATGAACCAGATGGTTGTAGTGACACTGTAATGAGACAGATGGTTGTAGTGACACTGTAATGAGACAGATGGTTGTAGTGACACTGTAATGAGACAGATGGTTGTAGTGACACTGTAATGACACTGAAGGTTGTAGTGACACTGTAATGAGACAGATGGTTGTAGTGACACTGTAATGACACTGAAGGTTGTAGTGACACTGTAATGAGACAGATGGTTGTAGTGACACTGTAATGACACTGAAGGTTGTAGTGACACTGTAATGAGACAGATGGTTGTAGTGACACTGTAATGACACTGAAGGTTGTAGTGACACTGTAATGAGACAGATGGTTGTAGTGACACTGTAATGACACTGAAGGTTGTAGTGACACTGTAATGAGACAGATGGTTGTAGTGACACTGTAATGACACTGAAGGTTGTAGTGACACTGTAATGAGACAGATGGTTGTAGTGACACTGTAATGACACTGAAGGTTGTAGTGACACTGTAATGAGACAGATGGTTGTAGTGACACTGTAATGACACTGAAGGTTGTAGTGACACTGTAATGAGACAGATGGTTGTAGTGACACTGTAATGACACTGAAGGTTGTAGTGACACTGTAATGAGACAGATGGTTGTAGTGACACTGTAATGACACTGAAGGTTGTAGTGACACTGTAATGAGACAGATGGTTGTAGTGACACTGTAATGACACTGAAGGTTGTAGTGACACTGTAATGAGACAGATGGTTGTAGTGACACTGTAATGACACTGAAGGTTGTAGTGACACTGTAATGAGACAGATGGTTGTAGTGACACTGTAATGACACTGAAGGTTGTAGTGACACTGTAATGAGACAGATGGTTGTAGTGACACTGTAATGACACTGAAGGTTGTAGTGACACTGTAATGAGACAGATGGTTGTAGTGACACTGTAATGACACTGAAGGTTGTAGTGACACTGTAATGAGACAGATGGTTGTAGTGACACTGTAATGACACTGAAGGTTGTAGTGACACTGTAATGAGAAAGATGGTTGTAGTGACACTGTAATGACACTGAAGGTTGTAGTGACACTGTAATGAGACAGATTGTGAAACAAACAAAAAAAATGAACAAGAACTCGTGAATGATATTGATAGATATATATCTCCCAGATTGTTTTTAAAACAAAAATATAGATGTGCGTAAAAATATAAATGTGCGTAGTAACTGACACCCCTTCTGCTGTGAGCAGAGGCGCGTAATTTAATTGTTTATTTATTGACCGTAGAGCAACACATGGAAACGAAGGCAATCGATAGCTCGACTGAATAAAGTTGAATTGGCAACCATGTGAACTCTTTATTTAGGGACACGTTTTTGCACGCTACTGCATTCCGGAGTTGAGTAGCGGCGTATTTACATTAATTTCAATTACAAAAAAAGCTTGTCCAGGCACTGAAATACGTATTCCTTTTTACAACCATCTGCGCTCAACGTGGCTTTCTGTGACATCAAAGAGACTTATATATATTTACTCTTTTCCGTTGTAAACTAACAACTAAGAAGTCTTGACAACTTTTCAATGTTTTCCCTTATTTTCTCCTGACAACGAATAAAAAACCTTCGATTATCGACCTTTAAGCTAATAAAAGTTTAACTGTTTTTCTAAAAAATTCAGAGTTCAAAATTGAAAGGGATGTTTCTTTTTCAAATAAAATCTATACAGTTTGATCGATCAATAGGTGTATTGAAGTCTTTCCTCACCCAATATCTTGTTGCTACTAGACCCACATTATCATAGAGTGAGGCCGCTGTTGTAATATGGAGTAATGTTAAACAAATTTCTTCTCCAAGTCATTCCTTTAGACTTCAACAGGATTTTGGTTACTGCAGTCCATTTTATTGAGCATGCTAGCATGCGCTTATTTCCTTTAAGGCCCTTCTCACTTCGCGCATTACTCTTTGTATGGAAGCACTTTTAAGCCATTTAAGGGTACAGATTTTTACTGTGGTATTTGCAAAGGAATTATCCACAATAATTTACCTGTATATTTTTTCTTATCAAGAATCAATGTCTTTAGCTGGTACATGTATGTGTCCCATGGTAACTGTACATTCACTGTCCATATGTAAACATTCAGTCAGGAAAGTGTCTATGTAAACGGGACCAGAATTTATTATTAGGAGCAATATATTCTTCTGTGGTGAAATGCGTTCTTAAGACTAGCATACATGTACGTGCTAAGTGAAGAAGTACACATAAACTAATAGATGCAGAATTTTTTTTTGGGGGGGGGGGGAGGTCACACAGATGTAATGTATTCTTTGGCGGGGTCATTGAGAGAACTTTAACACTAGATGTCCACAGACATTTCTCTATTTATTTCATTAGCTGTGCCCATTTCTGTTATGTGCTCACCTTCTGCATCATCATCCAGTCACCCTTGGTATATTACAGATCTTAATAGGAATTAACTACAGCTTATGAATACCTCACGAATATTAGAATCTAGTTAAGAGAGATTTAGTATCTGCCGAATACACCCCAAAGCATCTACGATTCTGGTACGATTATAAATGTAATCTTGACCTTTCTTGAAATTTCATGGAATGTTCCCTCAAGACAGGTATAACCTCCCCCCCCTTTACAGAATCGTAGTCAAATGGTAGTCAATTGAATGCTTCACGCTTCCCAGATTAAGGTAAGATTACATCTAAGAATGTACTACAGATTTGTTAATAATTAACAAAGATTTTTTCTGCATTCGGGAGTTCGGAGCCAAAATTCTGAACAGCTCAAAAGTTTGAGATCAAAAATTTCACGATCTCTCAAAAATTGAAAGAACGGACTGAAAATAAATAAGAATCAGTTAAGAGGTTCAAGAATTTATCTCGCTTTTAAACGAAGCACCATAATAATTAATTCCTGGCGGTTCACGGAATTCCTTATCAGTGTGGAATACGGGCATTTTCAATTCTGCATTTAAAAGCGATTCAAACCCCTCAAATAGTACAATGTAGTAACTGGTGTCGATATTCCCTCCTATCATGGCTATCATGGCTCCACCCGCCATGTGCATTTTTTAAACGCTGATAATATACCGTTAACTTAAAGTGAAATGAACTTTTAATATGAGATTGAAAATTACACGATAAATACATTGTTACATGTAACAACAATGAATTCCATCTTACCACCTAAACGACGGTTATCGCAATTATTCTGAAATCTGTGCTTGCTGATTGCTCTACCACGTGGACCTTTATAATGGCTACCCCCGTTTTAATCTGTTAAGAGTTTTAAGAGATTATTACAAAAAGCACACTAAAAAAGAAAAACAATCGATTTCTTCTGAATGTCGCAACCGATTCAATAACTATTTGTAACTATAGGAAAATCTTCGTTTAACCTGGGCAAATCGATTTCATGGCACTTTTCCAGCCAAAGTGAAGATTGTTACCCCTTTAAGTTGATACAAAACGTCAAGTCTAAGCACATTGACGAGTTTAGAAACGATTCGTGAACAGGAAAAGATGTTTTTTTTTTCTATAGAAAAAATTATTTTCGCGCAAATGCCATGTGAAAAGTACCAAATTAATTTATTACACTATTTAATGTAAATTTTAAATGTGACTTGGACTTTTGGATATTGGTCGTTTTATAGACATAACTACACAGAGATTTTCATTTTAAACTTTGTATGAATATGATAATAAATTATTACCTTATCTTTAACTGCTGGCTACCTGTTCAGGAAAGGGGTTTATTTAG